ATTGTCTTACATCTTTCGAGGTTCACTTTTAACGAGCAGTCAGTTGTATTGCGCAAGACGTTCCACCATCCAATTTTCTGAACTTTGGCTGCCTTTCAAAAGGCGAGAAACAATTAGAAGTAACATCAAAAACTGACTTTGAAAAAAATGTGAAATTGTCACCTCTTTTTGGAAATTGGATACCTTATAATTAAATAAACGGAACTTTTGTTGAAATTTGTCTAGAATTGTTATTATGGTTACAAATAGAACTATTAAGAAAAATTTCAACTTTAATAATGATTTGTACAGACACATGCGAGACAGTGACCGAAAAAAACGGTCACATGCTGTGATTCATAACTAACGGTACAAACTGAATGATCAGAACGATAAAAAGAAAAGAAACTGTTACATAACATAGTGATGGCACTGAATCAGGGTTTAATAAGGTACCTGCCACACGTATTTAAAATGAAATAATCATTAATTATACGTTCATTATTCGTTCGACGAAGTGATTTTAGTAGTCACTTACGTTTTGATACTTGGAAAAACAAAGCCATTCTTATTCACCTTAGGGGAACTTTTTAAATGAAACAGCTCCATGCCGCCACGTGACATTTTGAAATGCATTATCGTGCCAAACTGTTAGAAAATAATTCCTCATCTGCTTTATATTGGTAATTAGCGTTCGATACGTCATGATCTAAGGTGCAAATTGAAGCGATCTAAAGGTAGTGGTCATGGCCAGATCGGATACCCTAAATTACGAACCAAAAGCAGATGTAGTTAATACAACCCCTCGACAAAGACAAAGTGTTAATGTTGCGGAAATGTGCACTTACCGATTCATATTATGCACTTGCCATTGAGGGGAACGCAATGAAGATGAAATGACCTTTAGCTAAGTTGTTTTCGACCAAGAGCTATATTAGTGTTAATTAATAATAATATGCTAAATCGTTTATGTAGATAAGTACACACTAATTATATGGCTCACTTGCATGAATGTGTTAATTACATTACCTATACGTGGATGAATTTGAATTTTGATGTGTGGATTTAATTTTATTTACTTTTGCAAAAATTCATCTTCTTGTCATGACATTGTTGTCATAAATCTCGTCATAAATATACCATTTATTTTAGATTATCACTATAAAAGTTTCGTTTACAGGTACAGGTGCGTAGATCTAGAAAATTACACATTTTACACTTGAAACCTAGCTCAAAACCTCGCTCAAAACTTAATTTGAATGCAGATACTTTTTTTATCCTCTATCTAATTTCGTAAGAATCCAATATGGCGCCCATAAGAAAGTAGTAGTCTGTAGACCATAGAAGGTGGTAATAGGAACCGTCCATTTCCGGATGTTTAAGCTAGGGACAATAAAAAGGAAATTTGACATTTTGAGTTTTTCGGTGATATCTTAATTATTTTGAAAGATTTTTCAAAAATTTTAAATGTGTTTTTTTAGTCACAAAAGGGGACATCTTTGTATCCATTTAACCTACACTGTATCTTTGACCGTTACAGAGATCCCAATGCTGAGTCACGAATTTGAACCACTCTGTTCGAAATTGTTTAGCGTGATCAAATTCGGCAAAAATATAAAATCTTGAAAACTTCCCGCCATTCCCGTCGGTTCCGTGGTATTCCCACTGTATTCCGAATTTATTTCTATATTCCTACCATGTCATTTCCAGAATTCCACCCTCCTCTTTGTTTTAAATCACATTTGGCGTCCTATTGACGGAAATCTGTTTCGTTTTACACGATAAATGGATGTAATATAATGTTTCATTCCTTAAACTGCGAATTAAGCGTCCCTTACTAACATTCTGTTGAGCCAGCTTTTTTGTGGACGGCCTTAGAGGCGGCAAACCAATGAAAATTAACGAAGCATTGCCGCCATTACTTTCCACAATGAAATAACTAGGCGTTTTAAGTCAGCTTAGTGTAGAGAGAATGAGCTTCAGCCAAAACGAATGATATATAATAATTCGAAATATTCTCGACAGTCAAGAATACCATTTGACCAAAGTTCATTTTTTTGGTTGAAAAAACGAATGGCATTGACAAATACGTAGTCAAGAATAGGGCCCCAGGTGGAAATTAGGTAGAAATTTAATATTTAGACAGTTTTATAAAAAGCAATGTAGGTCAAGGAGATGCATCCTTAAATGTCCTCCTCCTTCCGTATTTATTTTTATCAATATACCAAAATTATGTTTTGAATTCTAATTATCTTTTGAAGCGTTTCTATAATTACTTTTCATTATACGCAATACAATAATGTCATTTTGCTATTGTGGAAATAAGAATTTGGACCCGAGACCTTCGATAAGATGCCATATTTGGTCGCTCAAAAACTTGCAAGCACAATCCAAGATGTGATAAAAGAGAATGACGAAACTTCCTGTGAGAGTCCACCCAGTTTCTCCCTATGGGTTCCCGCCACTCCAGCTATTGAACCAATAGACATGAAACCAGATCCTAATCCTATCAAGAAGCACTCTGGCAGTTCTGTAACTAGACAGGTCGAGTCGAGGGTCGAGTTGAAAGTATCGGATGGTGAGTAGCCTTGCGAGGGAAGATGCCGCAACCCTGTTACTGCTCAAAGAAAACACCCCCATCGTCCGATGATGACGTCTCAGAAGCAATCTAATCAATTCCAAACGGGTCAGTCGTAGGAATGGATGGAATTCACGCGCAGAACTTAAAGGACTTAATGGGACCTACTCTCGGACCTACCAATGGTGAAGACATGTGGGTCTTGATCTCCTGAAGCTGGAGAAGAACTCTGCCCTCACCGAGGCCCCCAACAACTTGGCGTCAACGCTAAATGTGGCCACGAAGCTGTAACTCCATAAAAAAAAACCAAATGCTTGCAGGAGTAAAACGGAAAACACCCTTCATCTACAGCTTCATGTACAAGTCTCCTTCCATTTTCTTCAGAGCGGAAACAATACCTTCCCAAATCGGAGCTCAGGAAGATGATCCATGCGGACCTCTTATCTTCAGCCTTACCATCCACCCAGTTCACCAGAGAGTGTGCTGGCAGACCTGATGACACTCAAGGGACGGTTTCAAAAAATTGGCCTTCAAGGGACGGTTTCAAAAAATTGGCCTTCCAATCAATCCTCGAATCAGTCCTTCAAAATGTGAGCTGTTCTTTTTAAACCATTTTCAACAAGAAAAAAACCGTTGAGAGCGCTAGGAGGAAATTATCGAGCCTTCTTTCGCGGGAAGGTGGCCCTGGGGATATTCCATACCCCTTCAGTTCGCTTCTGGGAGGTATTCCATACTCCTTCATCGAATTCCGGTTTTTTTAAATTTTGTAAACATAATTTTAGTCTGTAAACAAAACTGCACAACTTTGCCCATTACTTAATTACTATCTTCAATGATAGTCAAACTCATTACGAAATGTTGTAATTGGAAGTTTCCAATTTTGTGAAATCTTTTCCGTTCTCTTTTAGGGTGGGGTGCATTTTTCAAAAAGAACATTTTCATCTTAGGTTCACACATCACTAATAAATTTCCGTTAATTTCAATACTAGTTTCACTAATTACGGAGGGTTGCACACTAAAATTTCATTTCATTGCGGTTTCGCTCACGAATTAACGGAAATACCATGGTAGAAATATACTTTACATATAAGCACAAGTAGGTACACATTGAATCTTTTACTGTCTCAAGTGTGAGTTTGCGGAACGCAAGTAGTTTCTGTAGATAACTCTAGCCTCGACTCTAGCTATCGTTTTAGTAGCCATTTTTAAGAATAGTAATTGGCAAGTTTCCTAAATTATTGGTAATAAATTTGTAGTAATTATGTATGTATTTATGTCTCGATATAGATTGTATAAAACAATGCTCCAAGTGGCCAACACATGGAGGAAGGAATGATAATTTATTTATTTATTATCCCTCTCTTGTTCTGGGCCCTCAACAGCCTTGCGCCTGTGACCTGCATACTGCTTTTTTAATTTGAAAATAATTTTACAGAAATTTGAGAGGAATTTGAGAGATACTTAAAAAGAAATTGAGAGCACCTGTGTGAACGTGAAGACAATTTGCCAGAAGCTCTAGAGGAATTTGAGAGGAACTTTGAGATGAATTGATGATAATTTGCGAGAAATTTGGGAATAATTTTATATGAAATTCTTGAGATGAACCTGGTTTAGGGACAAATTGAAGGGTGAACGTAAAAGTAGCTTGAGAGGAGGAATGAAAAGAATTCCCGTGGGAAACTTGAAGGGAATTTAAAAAAAAGGCTTCTTTAAAACTTCACAAAACCTTTTTTTATTTTATTTTTTGTGAATACGAAACATTCTTAGTAATCGGCATGACAGATTTAGCTCTAATGGTCATTACGAGAATCAGGAATCAAGTATGAGAAGTTCATTTTAACGTAAATGGAACCTTCAATTTGCCACCGGTACGTAACGGTGGATGGTTCTTGGAAACTTTGAACATCCACGTTCAGGGCCAACTTCGTTGCGGGATGTTTGACATGCCAAGAAGTTTGTTGCCGATAACTATATTTCAGAAGCACGTGGTCTTGATATACGCGTATGATTGAAGTTTGTTTGAACTATGTAGTAGATATCGTTATCACCAACAATGCTTTGTTTACTGACCTTCACGTTAAAAAAAGGTCTTAAACACCACCGCAGTTACTGTTGGAAATTTTACGATCTTCACGGTCAGCGTACGGAATTATCTTGAATTAAAGGTTTTCGATTCTTTAATTTATGCTTTTACGTAATCATAACAGTTCTATTGTTTAATTACATCCTGTTCTTTAATGAAGTTCTGTTGAAGCATTCATCTACCATTGTTAAGGTTTTTTTGTTAATCAATGTAATTAATTGGGCCCAATTTTTGTAAAACTGTGTCACTTTATATATTTGATATCTGTTTAAGAGACCTACGTCATTTTGTGCAAACATTGTATATCATGAGATGTCTTCTTGTGGCGTCTTAAATGATAAAATTGAAAACAGAACTTACGTCGGTGGATTGATGATGTTAAAAAGTTCAGAGGGAGAGTTCGGTATTTTCCTGATGATCATCTTCTTCCCATCGGTTGATCCCATTCCAATCGACGCCAACGATCGAATTGACAGTCCTTCGGAGAAAGGCCGCGAGATTTGGCTACTCGTGTCACTAAAGGGTCGTAGAGAAGGGTTAAAACGACTTTCACCGGATCTTGAGGAACGCACACTATTTGAATATCGACTCGGAAACGAATGGGACGAATTTGGATTGGTCAAAAGGTACATTGGGGCGTAAGACGTTGTGTTTTCGGCTTCTTTGTAAATATCACAGACTTCATTTTTTGATGATTTGACAACACTTTCAGGTGCATTAGGCAAACCGACAACGTTAGGATCACCTGAAGATGATCTCAGAATCGCTTCCTCCGGATTTGTCCTTAAATTAAGATTATTCCCACTACTCGCACTTTTACTAATAATTATCGGCTTGTTGTTGTTGTTTACGCTATTTAGCAGCTTTTGGTCTTCCTTATCGCCCATTTTAATCCGATTCTTTCTAATTAATCCATTGAAGTGAAAAGGCTCGAAATCGAGCTCGCAACTTTTCCCCAATGGAAGTCTGTCATCTACTGTTAAACTTGAATTGTTCACTTCCATTGCTTATGGAAATTGGTCAGATGATTCTCAATTTACCACTTAAAGCGACCTACGCTGTTAAATCCTTTGAGCGTGCAACCTCGTAACGAATTCATGAATGCTACTGTGTATTTAAACATCAAAACATAAATATCGCTCTTATCGCTTTACCGACGAAATACCGACACTTGTTGAACAAAGAAAAAGCCTGGAACTTTCTGTTATGGCACTTTCAGTTAACACTACACAACGAAATGCAACTACCTTATTGCTAAATATTCGCGAATCGTATGTTAATATTAATTTGCGGCCTCCTGAATACACCGTTAACGCGAGACTAACTTGGAAAACATGTCAAGTTTTATCAAATATGCAATCAGACAATCTCCACATTCCCACCATTTTTATGTAATTACTCTTTTTACGTAATTACGTTACTAATAAATGATTTCCGTTACGGCAATTTTCAAATTTTGGACGAAAGGTTCTAGGAATCCCCACCTGATCGTTACGAGGCAAGAATGCAAATTAGTGTCTAATAATTTAGCGTAAATTTCGCTTAGCCAGTCGGTTCTGTGCAAAAACTTAATGGATAGACACTAAATGGTAATTACACCTAGTGCGAGCGCGGGTAATTGAACTTTGATTACGGAATGTGCAATTTTAAGGTGGGAACCTGTTTATGGGTTATTATCGGCAGTATGGATTACACTGTAACTTAATTACATTGGACCCAAAATCCACAGAACGTTTATTTCGAATTACCTAATTCCATAGTCAATGAAAAACTGTTTGCAATGTTAAGGTGATCTAGAAGGCGAACCACAATAAATTTAAATCGTGCGAGGCAGCGACCATAACCTTGTCCTTGCAGGATGTGTTCATAAATCTATGGTTACATACCCGAGAACATGCAGACCAGTATTTAAATAAAGTGCATGGTTTTCTCAACAGTTAACTTAAATTGGGGCAAATCTGAATAAACACGATGGGTGAGGCTCCCCCGGAGGCCGACTTATCCTTTTGCCACCTGAGTGGCTTGGACGTTCTTTGCGCGCCCGACCGAAGACGCTTTTGCAACCTGATTTTTCATTGAATTTTAACAGCATTTTTTTTTGCGAATTGCTACGAAGAAGAGAAATTGATCTTGATCAAGTTATATGAACAATGGTGAATACAAATTCTGCAGAGATAATTACGGCTATAAGAGTCATAATAATTATGAAAATTTCTGTACGTGTATAAAATTATTCAATTGTTCTTAAAGTTGCATTCAGGCCCTGTAAACATAGTTAAATCATTTGAGGGAGCATTATTACTTTGAAATAATATACAGTGATATTCATGCAGAAGTAGACATAGGGATTTCCTATGTCTACTTTCAAATGATAAATAGTCTTCTGAAAGACGCCTAATTTTATGCAACCAAAATAACTTCTTGAAACAAATAAAGATCTGGCTGTCATATTAATTATTAATTTGAATATTATTGCTTTAAGGCTGGACAGTACACCCGTTCCGTTGCCCGAAAACGCGTGATTTCGTTCCACGATATCTTAATTCTGAGTGAAGTTGAAGAAGGGGTCGAATATTCCTGTGAAAGGTGAATGCTTTAGCTAGACAATAACCCCGGGGTTTACTAAAATGTTTTAAAATAATCTTTTTTTTAAGGGCAACGTCGAGGGCTGTTAGGGTGTCACATTTTGGAAAAGAAAAAAGGAAATAAATTTTCTTGGCGTTATTGCCTAGATATTAAGTTTACGAACGTATCTTAATTTTGGAAATTGTTCCAACTTCATTTATAGATAAGTTATCTTGGAAAAACAACTTAAAAGTTTTTCTAAAAAGCGCTAAAAGATAGCTTCCGCCGGGTGGCTGGTTTTATACAGATAGAAAATGTTCATTATAATTGGACTAAGTTTATGTTTTTACCATCGAACACAAATTAATATTATAAATAACCAAATTTGGGGATTGAGAATAGGCAACTTTACATACTCCGTTCTGTATGTACTGTCCAGCCTTAAGCTTCACCGAAAATAAATCACTTAAGCTCCATTATCTGTTATCGGCACTATACCAATTAGAAATATCAACTTTTTCTTTAGTTGAATACATCGCACACGAACGAAAATTAGAATACGGAAGTCAAAACGATAATATTCAAATGACAAGCAGATCTTCATTTGTTGTACGTAGTTACTTTGGTTGCATAAAGTTAGGCGTCCTTTAGAAGACTTTTATCATGTAAAAGTAGATAGGAAATTCCTATAGGAAATCCCTAGGTGTCTACTTCTACATGAATATCACTGTAGAGTGCATGAACTAGCTCAATCAAAGGGGAACTTTGAAACTTACCTTCTGATTCCCATTGGTATCAAAACTATTTTTTTTGCATTTCGCTTTCTACACTCTTACTCAATAATACAAGAAAGGCGTCAGTTTGTCCTCAACACGTCAATTAAGAAATATACAATAAAATAGACACGACGAATGAACAAACAATACAATGCAGTAATCAACTGTTTTACGGTACCTCTAAATATCTTCTCCTGTCGTGCAGTCGTTCGAATGCGTGTATGTGAAGAGGAATGGGTAATAGCCCATAAAATGTACGCTGATCTGGCTTATGTCTCGCTCAGGTTTGAAGAGATCTCCTTATCGAATTGAAAACTGTTTCAGCCCTTCTGATATCAAGTCAATTTCGGTTGATAATAGATATAAAAATTAAGATGATCAGTTTACGCGATTATGAATAAAAACAATTTGTCGCTGTTCAACTTCTCAACAGCAAAGCTCTTATACCGACCAGATGGAATTTAATGTTTTTTATAAGTCTGTCTTATAAGCTGTCATTATTAACTTTGTTCAAACGTTTTCGAAACTAACTCCAGAAATATGATTCTCGTAACCACTCGAGCAAACAAAGATATTCCACGTATTAGAAGGGTAGAAGAAACAAGTAATACATAACTTATTTAATAATTTCGGGATAAATAGGTATGCGCAGGAATAAAGTTGCATGTAGGTTAGTAAGACGTATAATAAGTAAGGCGAGTTTCGCTAATAATTTTGAAATTTCAAATCCGCGAAGTGTGTGATCTTTCTCTGAATCTCTGAAGAATATTGGAAAAGTCACAAATCACAATCTCTGATATGGCTTGGTATCACTAGGTAATTGACCCCAATTGCAAATAGAAACTAAGTTAAGTATAATACAATATCAGTGAGTGTAGGAAAATTTTCGTTTGATCTACAACCTTGATAACCGAACCAGTTTGTCTCTGTTTTCATGCTTCGCTTTTTTAGAAAACCATTGCTGTAATATATCTCTCAATACATTTGTAGAATTTAATCTATATGCAAAGCTCACATTTCAAAAAATACAAAAACAATATGAATAGAAGAGTTAAAAAAGGTTATTGACTGACTGATACCGTATTTGGAAAAAGAAAACCAGGAGTTAGTGACTACACGTCACTTAATTAAAACCGAGATTAAAACCTCCGCTTTCCACAAAAAAATTAACTCGAAGAAATAAAACCAGAACAATCTGAAAAATTTTCAGCACAAGATCGACTTGATAAAGCAAAATGAAGAAGACCGAAATATAAATTATTCAGGACTTGAAGATGACACGAATCCATGCATTTAGATCTACAATGCACCCATATTACTGTAAGACCCGATTGTACAACGTCAATTTAAACTTTTCAGAAACACGATTGGTCCACTTGTGAAACATTAGGCAATCAGATCATTTAACCCCCAATTTAGCTATAAACTGAAATTTAAACTGACATTTTGCAACTGAGCCTAAAAGTGTTTTGGTATACTTCTTTACGGGACGTATCAAAAAATAAAGTTGATGATGATTTCTCCGAAACGAAACGTTGTTTATTTATTTATTTATTGTCCCTATCTTGGTCTATGCTCTCAACAGGCTTACGCCCAATTACAGAGTACGAATTTACGAATTTACAAATCCGATTTTTATAGTGCAAAGGTAATTGTTAATTTATTAATCTGGCTCATGTAACGGGCCCAGCTACATTTGCAGGGGTTGAAAATTTCACTTGCACAAAATAAAATTGAATCCCTACGGCACTGGCATAAATCCCAATGCAACAACCAATTTTCAATTTACCCAAGGCTAGCTCAGTGACAAAAATGTTTTAAAGGCCGATTTATAAACTTTGCCGCCCGCGTTCGCGCTGGCAGTTTGTAGTTCACCGAAGGCCGGGTGTCTCCTAAGATCTGAAATTTAAAAGTGTAATGTTTTGGTTTTTATTGTGGAATGGTAACTCTGCAATTAAATGTAAATAAAATTTTTAATCACTGAAACAAAGTAACCAAAACGTTTTGCTTGGATCTGATTGCTAGCAAAGAATAAAATATAATATAGAATCACTTTATATAAGTGGTTCTGATAGGCCGACTTGTTCAGGAATATAGGTGTGTTAATAATAATTTTTTTCCAATTAATTAAGCTTTATGGTGTGAGTGAATGCACCAATTAGTTGATTTTAAGTTTCCTGACGAATGACGTTGTGTGCAGGGTGGTTTAAATTCGTGGCTCTTCATTGGTACCCCCGCAACGATGAGATATACAGTGTAGGTTAAATAAGGGCAAAGTTGCCCTTTTCTGCGACTAAAAAAACGCACTGAAAAAACTTCGATTTATTTTCCCTAACCTAAACGGTCAGAAATGGAGGGTTACCGTTGGCAAGTGCCAAAAAAAAGTTTTTTTCGGAGAATCTGAATCTGTTATCAGAATTTCCATAACACGTTAGATGTAGAAGCTAGAGGCTACTACTTTCTTATTTCTTATGAAAGCCATATTGATTTTTAAGGAATGAGGAATGAGATAAAGGACAACAAATTCTTGGAATGCATCACCATCATAGCTATGTTGATTCAGCAAGATCTAGTTACCCATGGATGTTTGATTGAGAAATGAATGTAAAACATTTAATTTAGAAATTTTTTCTGTAAATTTATGTAAAAGTATAGAGTGTGACACGTCGTTATTTTTGTTTTTTTTTGCCTCAATTCGTAAAAATCCAACATGGCGCCCATAAGAAATAAGAAAGTAGGAGTAGTACTCTATAGCTTTTACATCTAGCGTGTTATGAAAATACTGATAACGGATTCTCCGAAAAAAAGTGCCCAAAGAAGGTGCTAACGGGAACCGTCCATTTCCGATCGTTTAAGTTAGGAAGAATGAAAACGAAATTTTATATTTTCAGCAAGACGTTTCTTAACAGCGCGTTCTTAAATACCTGATTGATGCAAGTAACACTTTAGTTTCTGTTCGCTATAAAGCGGTATATGTGTAAATTTTCTATTCTTACCACAATATAAATGCGAAAAATTACTTTTTTTAGTCTAAAGCGACCACCCGTTACACCCACAACAATAGCTTACTGCTTTGGCGTTTGAGTCAATTTAATTTTAACCAATCGTTTGAAACAGAAAGTGGTGAAAGAATTTGTGTTTTTCTTCTTAACAGACGTTAATGTTTGCTTGATACTTCTACGAGGACATTTGTTACATTTCATACTAAAAAAAGTAACATCAAAGATTTCTTCATACTGTAGCTTTTGTCGTTTTAACCATACGAATGTTTAGAATCACTTCTGGGAAAACGAGCGAATGGAAAAATCCCAGTTATAAGTTGTAACAATCTTTAAAATATTATACCTAAACCTACTTATGAATCTTTTAAAAACAATCATAATCTTGACAAAATTAAATAATAAGACCTATATTTAGCAAGTTAAACATAATAAATTGTGCTAAACCTTTTTAAGGAAAATCTAATCTCAATTAAATATTTAAACGTTCTATTACTGAGTAGTTTAAAGTACCTATTGTTATGACGTTACAATGTAGAGCTTCTGATGTACGTACGTATCTTACTAAATTCGAAAAGTTGACATTCTTTTTTAGTACTCCGAGGAAAATAAAAAATCGCCGTCTTCCAAACCTTGTCAAAATATGTTACCGATGGTTTTGAACTTTGCGTAAGTGGCTATAAGCCAATGTAAGTAATACAACAAATGAAGGACGCAAATAGCCCGACCTGAAATTTAGGGGGGGGGGGGGGGGGTACATAAAATTAACTTCTAAAATGATGTCTGTGCGCCATTTTACACTTTTTTTTGAATTGGGAGGAGATCATGTGGCACATCATTTTGAAGATCTTTTTATTCTCCATTGTAAACCCAACTAAAATAAACTTTCAGCTTTCAATGTGTCCAGCTTTCAATGTGTCCGTTGTGCTCTGAAATTCTCAGAACTCAAACTTTATGAATCTTCTTCAAGATCTCTGTGGTATGTTTCGCAAAAATAAACCCTGTCTGAAATGGTTTCAAACCCTTTGAACCTTCTCCCTCAAAATTTCTGAACACCTCTTAAATTGCCGGAATTACTGAAACATTTTGTTGCTGAAACGAATATGTTTTTAGATGTCATTGACATTCTAAAAGTTGCTTTGTAACTGCTTGTATACCTTAAAAGTTTCTTTCTAAAACCTTTAAAAGTTTTTTAAAACTGTACGAGAACGTTTCATGATTCCCAACGTCTGCATTTTACTTAAACTAAATCTCACAGTTTCCAACCATGCAAGTTTTGTTATTCCGATACCATGTAATCTAATTGAAAGCTGTCTATTATCTACAGTGTTCACTTGGAGCTCATATAGAAGCGAGTGCTGCAAGCTGAGGCAATGAGAGTGAGTACAGGTAAAAATCGATTTCTTTATTTTTAACCTAGTTTGTTTTTTTTACAATTTCGACAGCTGGTACTTCCATTCGCTCACATCACCTCGCCATTTTGCTTTGGAGAACGTTTCAGGCGTGTGCGTAATAGTGGATTCTAGGCGCTCGTAGATCTGAAAAGCAAAGAATGCTTATGCATGTAACAGCCTTTTTTGTACTTACATGTCCATCAGAATGTCCAAAGACCGAATTCAACAGAAAGTCCGGGGGAGCGATTGCGTCAACCAATGCAACGATGTCATCCTTGAGGTCCATGCACAACTTTAAAATCACATTTTCTATCATATGCCCAAACTCAGCACCAATGGCAAACCCGCCTTGGTAAAAGTAGTGAACGTAATTATGCAAATTCCAAACTCCATATAAAGACAGTAGTTTAATCAGGACGGTCTTTGTTGCAATATCCGCTGTGTTCGAAATTATTTGTCTGAACCGATCGATGTAAAATGTCTGCAACGCTCAATGTTTTAAAGGCAAACGAAATTTCCCATCCTTACCAAAATATACGCTGTTGCCAATGCCCTACAATAGTAAACCTGGCTGTTGTTTTTAATCCAAAACGGATTCGTTTCACTTTTTCCTAACAGTTGCTGCTTTTCGAACGTCTCCTTTAACAGGTAACACGTGAGCCATTGAAAACAGGTTAAGATATCTAAAGCAAGATTTACAAAAATGTGGTAATTAGCAGTGGGGGCGTTTACTTTCAGGTTGGACGAAATCTGCAGTATTATTAGCAGTGAATTTACACTTTAAAATTTCCTTGGCATTCGATAAGAAGTTGACCGATGATAATGGAAAGTCTATCCTTCCGCCCCGCATAACAATTGGCCACAGTTTCAACAGGAAGTTAGCACATTGTTGCGTAAGGACGTAGTTGTCACCTTCGTAATTGCTTGAGGGTTCTACTTCACCGTAGATTTCTTCCATTTCTGAAACTAGTGAGAGATGATACGTGATCCGATGTGCTGGATGGAAAATTACTTGTAAGGTACACGTGACTGCCGCAGATCTCCTTGCAATCTTTCATAAAGTCTCTTATCAACCAAGAGGATACCGGCTTAGCCGCTGAAGACAGGGCATGGTATTCGTTTCCTAAGTTGATGAGAACATCCTCGTCGGTAATCGAGGTGAACTGACTTTGTATAGCAGCCAGATAGCCGAACACTACGTGACCTACGTAAGCGAGTGCCAAACAAGGAGTAAGCCGAATTTGCTAAAAAGTTAGAGTTAAAAGTTTTGCATTTGTTTGGTAATCGTACATGTGCTGGGTTTTCTAATATTGGCAAATCTCTTCCATTTTCTGGTAGTCGTTGCTTTACAACGGATGCATTCCGTATCGCTATTGTAATTCCATATCTCATGTACTCTGTGCAGAAACCAGCGATATTTACACGCGCGGTTGATAACATGCTCAAAGAGTTAGCGAACTGCAATTTCGGGTTCACCACAGTGGAGATATACACTCCGTCATCATTAACGTCAGCCAACCTATTGAGAAGGTTTTCTTTTGGTATGCGATATTTGTTAAACATTATCAATCTAAAAGAAATCGTCATTTCCACTTTGCCAGTGCTCCACATTTTACCAGATTACCCGTTATCCAGCTGTTTCAAACCAATTTTTTCACCTATATCAGTTATGGATATTCCCGGATAAGGCAACAGTGTGAGTGGATTTCGGACGTTGACTACAAATGCGTGTAGACCGTGATTTTTGTTATCGGGCATTATTAACTGAGCGTACAGTATAATATGGGTTGCTTTTTTACCTAGAAAAAAAACCGAATAATACCTCGCTGACCGTCCATCGATAGGGGATCGGGACTATTTTTTTAAATTAACATAAAGGCGCCTTTTACGCGCCCCCCCTTGATTGGCGCCCATGGCACGTGTCATGCCTGCTATACGCTTCTGAAAGTATTCTTAGTCGATAGGCTGGTGACTGTAGGAGAAAGCGTCTGGGAAAGTCATACATAGGTTTAGCAATCCCGATCAACTGACGACTCGGTCAAGTTTTCACTGACTGATCACCGCACTTACTTTAAGTTAAAAGCTAAGGTTAGAAGTATATGCAGTACCAAAACCACCCCGAAACTTTGCGCTTAAACAATCGTAGTATTGAACTACAACTTTCAGAACTCTGATGTTCATTTGACAAACACCAAACGACATTTTTTATCTTACCCAGGTTTCCCATCCAACACTTCGCGGAATAAAAATTGGGAGTGTGAATAATAAACTCCTTCGTATCTCGATCGTACGTGGCTGTAGTTTGCATAGATTTCGTATTCGTTCCGTGTCCAACCTCAGTTAAAGCAAATGTTCCTATGATCTAAAACCTTAAATTAGGTACATTTAGGGTAAGTCACATTCGTACCTCCCCCGCATCGCCTTTCCGGCAAAATTCTTGGTGCCGCTCCGTACCCAATTTAGCTACAGAGCTAGCAAAGAGATCGAATGACTGACCGTGTCTCATACTCGATGACGGTCCAGTAACGTTCACCTTGGCACCGCTTGCAGACATTTCTCTCGTCAATTTCTTCCTTATATCGATAAGGTCCAACAAATGTTTAGAAGCCATCCTTTTTAGGTCCTCTTGAGATGGCGTTATTGAAGATTTGGAAAGTAGTGTTGGATGTTTCCGAAGTTCATCGTAGAATCTATTTTGCTAATGGATTAGAAAACGTCAGTAATTTGATTACGTGATAAATGAAAAGAAATACTTGAGGGTCGTCGTCGGACTGAAGAAAAGTTCTTAATGCTCTCCAATCAAAGGATGCCTTTTCCCTGTATTGATTTAATGGAGAATTTGTAGTATTATTCATTTTGTTTAGTGCGGTTGGACACGGTCTGAGTTAAAAAATAACTAGAGTATCTTTCAATTATTTCACTGATTAACAGACGAGCAAGGGTCAATCTTTTATCGATTTATATTTAGATGCTGTTACTGTGAATGTGCTTTGGGAAATACAAACAGGATATAGCTATCAACCATAGGTAGTTGGCCTGTAGGGATGTTGGCGACACTGTTGATATGTTGAAATAGTTCTTGACGCTTTATTGACAATAAACATCGACAACTATTGTCCACGTGTCGAGCAAGTTAAGGCCGTTAAGGTGACAGTGGACAATTTCTGTCCCTTTAGGCCTTCAACCACAAACTATTCGACAAAAACGTGTCATCAGTTGCAGAGCGTTTCTTCCATGCACTTTTAACTTGGTTTTTGTTGCGTTATGTTATATCTGGGAACTGCACCTATTTATGTTATTATCACGTGTTGATCAGTGATTTTTTTTCAGGTCGATACCCTCATGGCTGTATTGTTTCTTGATTTCTCCTCTTTATTTGCCACTGAAATTATTTCTAATGTGTTGGTCAGTTGAATTGTCTAAATATTCGGCGAAGCTGACGAGGTGAATGGCTAAGATGTTGCGATCAAATTTCCTTGACTTGTGATAAAGCATGTTGAAGACTTTATAAATGATCTTTGGTGTAGTACTGCTGGTTTTTCTTTTTGATTTCTCTCATTGGTTCTTTAAACCTCTATTGTCTGCATCGCGCTGGTTGATCCTTTCTTCATTTGCTTTCAACATATTCTTGGCTCGCCCTCGAAAATTTCCATCCTTTTCTTGCATCTGTAGCATTGTGTTGTCTTGCTCATCCAATATATTAGTAGGTAATTATAATAATAATAATAATAATAATAATAATGACTTTATTGATTAGCAGCTGCAAAATGTAGAAAGGAAAATGATAATATTACAGCTCAAAGGGCAGAGTCCAGCTTGTAATAAAAATTACTCGCTGCTCTTCCACTCAACCCATAACGATTGTTTAAATGATCACATAAATGTTATAAATTTAGTTGTGTGCGTCATGTAACAAGAAAAAAAGAAAAAAGTAGTAAAATTAAAACATAAAGTATAAAGTTTAGCAACAGTAACATTGTAACATCTACGATTTTAGCACACTACCTGACCACTATACCGGAGCTTCTAGCATGATCGACTTGCACATGCGTTTAAATTGTTTTAGATTTTTGGATTTTAGAAAATTTGGGAGGGGATTATACAATTTGTAGATGTTAAAAGTGAAGCATCTTTCGAAAAAAGATGTAATGTGTAATGGTGGACTTATCAATTCCCTAAACCTCAAATTTAAATTATGAACATCTGTTCTGTAAGTTATTTTATCATACAAATACGCCGGTGTTTTGTTTAGAATAATTGAGTGATAAAGCGATAAGCTATGCAAATCTCTTCGCTTTTGCATATTCAGCCACTTCGCTTCCTTTAGCTTATGAGAAATACGTTGGAATTTCCTTATACCAAATATTAATCGCAAGCATCCATTTTGTAGCTTTTGAATTCGCCGTTGATCGATAGAATCTAAACACGCACTATAAACTACGTCACAATAATTTAAGGGAGAAAGGACGAGGGATTCACAAAGTAAAGATTTGATTTTTGAACTAAAATAAGATCTGAAAGAATACATTTTTTTCAAGTTGCCGTACGCTTTTTGGAGACAAGTAGATACATGCTGTTTAAACTGTAGTTTTAGTACTAGCGGTATAACGGAAATTCTTGAAAGATACTGCATTTTTTTATACCAAGGTGCCACTTGGTACAGTTGTTCCTTAGAGCAATTTAAACGATTTGACCCGAAGAACACTTGACATTTTCCGTGTGGGTAGATTTTAGAGGGGTTGGGGGTGATTTATTGTAACATTTCTTTAAAAACTAAATATGGCCTAGAGACGAGATCTGGGGGTCGATTCCGTATGATTTTAACCCGAGGAATCCAATGGTAGCGCCAGAAATGTAATCCGGATACCGGAAGTCCGTGAAAAGCCGCCATTTTTAGAAAATGACAGACTTTTGATCGAATTATATTTCTAAGGCACACCGGGTCGTGTAAGGTGTCTAGACTTATGTTTTTGGGGTCAGGGAATTCATTTATGATAACAAATATATCCTACTGTCATCGGAACTGCATGAGAGGCTTTCCCACTGCACTTTTTGAAGACGTCGCACGCGGTGAAACCCAAGATATTCCAAAGTTTTAATATATAAACTTATATTATTTTATTGAATAAAAATACACATTAACAAAACATAAGATAAATTAAAACATGGGGTAAAAAATGTATAAGCCGATGAAGAATCACCAAGTACATCTCTGACCCCCTCTGAGATTGCGTTATCACCATTGGAAAGGAATTTTACATATAGGTAAATATTAAAGGTTCGGCAGTAAATTATATCGAAAGTATACAATCTTACCCTTTGTTTGAGCAATCTCCCATACATTTTTGGCATGCAGGGGAACATGGTAATCCGTGTCGCCGCAGCAAGAGGTGGAGGAGCACATAAGGAGGGCGGCGTATGTCGCTGGCCATATCTGGGAATGTGCAAACCAGGTGATGAGAAGCTCCACAAGTCCAGAAGGATGGGGATGGACTCTTGAAGCCAAAGGCTGGAAGGTTCTGCAGTCCAAGCTGCCACAAGTATGGAAGGCAGTCCGTGCTCTGGACAGGTGTGGCTGCGGGACCCTTCAGTGCAACTGCCGGCGACACGGGTTGCCATGTTCCCCTGCATGCCAAAAATGTATGGGAGATTGCTCAAACAAAGGGTAAGAATATTGTATACTTTCGGATATAGTTAATTTACTACCGAACCTTTAATATTTATACCGGGTGAATATTCCCAAAACGAACATAGGGAATTAACATGGGAAAAGGGGTTTTTGTAGATAGTTGCTCCCCATGTCAACTTAGAGGGATGATCATGACACCAATCGAAAGAAGATTTTCCTCGTCTAATGATACACGAATTAGTTCATTTTCAGGTGTATTTCTCACTGTATTATCAAAAACTCGAGAAATCCACTTACCAAAATCATATGTTTAGCCATGACTAAGACAAAAAGCAGATTCAAACGTTGAAATCAATATCAGTTTATGACACCTGGCATTAATTTTTTTGTAAAATGCGGTTCACTGAAAAAAAGTATTTATAATAAACAACGTTTACAGGGGAAATATTTACTCTAGTACGCGGTATTTGTTTTCCGTGTATGTGAAAACCTCCTGGAAAACCTATTTCAATTCGTTAGGAAATTTCCATCGCTTAACATGATTTTGCTAATTGGATTTATTGCCGAATTTTTGATAAAATAATGAGAAATACACCTGAAAATAAGCTAATTCGTATATCATTAGATGAGAAAAAAATTTTCTTTTGATTGGTGTCATTACAAATCCTCTAAGTTAACATGGGGAGCAACGATCGGCAAAAAACGTTTTTCGCATGTTAATTTCCTACGTTCGGTTTTAAAATATTCACCCGGTATGTGAAATACATTTTCAGTGGTGATAACGCAATCTCAGATGAGGTCAGCGATGTACTTA